CCACCTAAAATCCCACCTTCTACAAGAAGGTTTTCCCAAATCCCCCTTAATTCCAGTGCCTTCTCTCTGATTACTTCCAATTTATCCTGTACATTGATTGTTTGTACATACATGTTTGCATAAGCTCGAGAATAGGGGTTGTCTTTTATCTTTCTTTGTATCCTTAGCACTTCATTTGATACCTGGCACACATTAGGAGCTTAATAAATGTTTATTGATTGACTGAAATCCAAAAGATGCTGTGGGCAGATAAGATAGTGGGACCAGTGGGTCCTTAAGCTACAGACACAGGTTAAATGGCACTGCCCAGGGTTTGAAAGGTATGGAAACAGGGAAAATAGTAAGTACTCAAAAGACCTGAAGATGTAATAGCAGTAAAATGGTTATGCCTATTGGTCTTCCATCTTACCAGGATCATAGTTGGTGACTTGTCCAATTGGTTTGAGCAGCCACATCCACTCTACAGGGTGGAGGGTAAAGGGAAACAGCAGGGTGAGTGGTAGTGAGACCAGGAAGATAGTAGTGAAATCCAGGGTCTCAGTGGGGCAGGAATTCTGCTCCTCCCAGGGAAGTGGGAATGAGGAAGAAGTAGAAGCTGAGTTAAAATAAAGAAAAGGCGAGGGGGCTTTAACAGGAAGTTTGGAGAGGTAGCCTCCTGCTACTCACTCTGCTGGGCCCTGAATGGGTTCTGGATGGCTAGGATATGGGACATCTATTAGGGAAGCACATTGGCAAAGGAAAAATGGGAAACTCCTGAAAATGAAATTCTGAAGATAAAATAATAAACACTTCAAAAATATGACTTGTCCTAATAAATGTATATGTCCTAATAAATGGTGAGCCAACTCACCAATGAAATTAGATTTTGCAAAGATGCATACAGACAATGGAAACAAAGAGTACTATAAAATAGTCTCAGAAGTTCTAGAGCTCAGAATGACCTGAATTTGGAGAGGAAAATTAAGGTCAGATGGCATCACTCCTTGGGTGAATGGAACAAACCTCACTGTACCACAGAAGCCAGAGCTATTTATTCATTATGTTTGCCAAGGATAATGATCTGGAAATGAAAGAACAAAAATGGTTAGCAGGGAATTGTTACCTAAACTAAGTAAAGAGACAGTATGGGAGTACCTACATGCCTGATCCAAAGTAATCACATTCTCCTGTACTTAAAGAAATGGCTGATGTCATTGATGAGCCAGTCCATGACCTTTTAAAGGTCATGGAAAATAAGAAAGGTGACAGCATGGTTTAATTAATAAGAGGTCAGGCCAGACTAACCAGTAGCTAAGTTGGTAGATCAGGGGAATGTTGCAGTTATATTTTACTGAGATTTTATAAAATACTTGATTAGTAATTAATAATAATGATGATGATAATGATAGCTAGCATTTATACAATACCTTATGGTTTTCAAAGTATTTTGCAAATATTAACTCATTTATTTCCTTACCAGAACCCTGGGAAGTAGATACTATGATTATCACCATTTTACAGATGGGGGGGCGGGAAGCAAACAGGGGTTAAATGACTACCCCAGGGTCACACAGCTAATTAAGTGTCCCAGGTCACTTTTGAACTCAGGTGTTCCTGATTTCAGGCCCAGTGCGCCATCTAGCTGCCAAAGCATAATAATGACATAAAATACCTCGTACCATCCTTGTGGAAAACACTGAGAAATGTGGGCTAGATAATTGTTTCTATTAAAAATAAATAGCATACTTAAAACAACTCTATGCAAGGAAAATATAATACAGTGAGATGGATATGGAACTACCCAAAGAATATCATTCAATGTTCAATATCAACTTTACTTGTCATTCTATGTCCTTCATATTTTTGCCAATGACATGGAAAATTGCCTACATTGCATGTGTGTTTATAGGATTTGCAGATGGCTCAAATCTGAGGATAGCTAACATCATGGAAGCCAAGGTCAAAATCTTTTAAGATCATAACAGGTCAGAAATGAAGAGCTAAAATGAGCAAGATGGAATTCCAATAGGGATAAATGTAAATTCTAACCATTTGGGAGTGCAAGACATTGATTTCACATTTAAAAGATGAGGGAGACAGAGTTAGACAGAAGTTTGTTTTTAAAAATTAAAACCTTGGAATTTTTGTGCACTGCAAGATCACCATGAATGAGCAGTGTGAGGCGTCTGCCAAAAAAGCTAATGGATCATTTCCAGTGATTCACTTTTTTTACCCCCTTTGGCAATTGGGGTTAAGAAACTTGTCCAGGGTCACACAGTTAGTAAGTGTCAAATGTTTGGTCTAAGGCCGAATTGAACTCAGGTCCTTCTGACTTCAGGGCTGGTGCGCCATCCACTGTGCCACCTAGCTACCACAATGATTCACTCTTTATCAAAGCATGAATAGCTTTAATTCACCCTACAAAAGAAAGTCACTTAATTTAGAAGTCCACAGAGCTGTTACATTTTTTTCAGAATGAATGCTTCTTGAGTGACCCAAATAGCACCAAAACTCATGCGCAAACTTTACTGTTCAAGTGATAACATGACATTTGAACTAAACTACACATTAAACACATTAAACATATGCTCTCTACTGTATCAAAGCATTTTAATTTAAGCTATTTTGAGTCCAACAAAATGATTCCTTAGATTTCAGTAAGCCATTTGTCAAAATTAGGTTGTTTTTACAACTCCTGAATTGTTCTGAATAATTACTATTGCCAAGCAGCCTGGCACAGTGGAAAGGCCATTGGTTCTGAAGTCAGTGGACCTAGATCCAAATTTTATCTGTGCAACCTTGAATAAAGCACTTAACCTCTCTGGGTCAAGTCAATATTTATTAAAGGTCTATTATGTGCCAAGTACTGTGGCACTTGAGGGGGAGGGAGAAAAGGATACAAAGAAAGGTAAAAATAGTCCTTGCCTTCAAGAAGCTTACACTCTAATGGGGAAATACAACACCTACATACAAAACAAGCATATAGGAAAAAACACAGATCGTCTCAAAAGGGATAGCATTGAGAGAACAAGAAAGGCTTCTTGCAAAAGGTAGAGTTTTAACTGACACTTGAAGAAAATCAGGAATCAGAAGTGGGAGAAAAGATTCCAGAAAATGGAGGCAACCAGTGAAAATGGACAGTTTCCTAATCAGTAAAATTAGGGGACTGTACAAGTCTCGGGCGGGGGGGGGGGAAGCTAGTGGTTAGAGCACCAGCCCTGGGGTCAGGAGGACCTGAGTTCAAATCTGGCCTCACACAGTTACTACCTGTGTGACCCTGAGGAATTCACCCAACCCTGTTTGCCTCAGTTTCCTCAGCTATAAAATGGACTGTAACAGAAAACTGCAAACTACTCTACCATCTTTACAAAGAAAACCTCAAATGAGGTCATGAGGAGTTGAGACCCAACTGAACATTAAGTCTCTGAGATTCCTTCCAACTCTAGATGTGATTCTAAGGAAGACACTAACATCCAATAATAGCATGATTCCCACAGCTTCAATTCAGAGGTGTTTGCCTTCTGAACTGCAGTACTTACATTTCTACTGTGAACATAGCAAGTAATCACATACTGTCTCATGACACATTGTGTCTGGTATTTTACTTTTTGTTCCCAGTTACATTCTAAACTCCAGAAGGGCAGGACTCTGCATACTCCTTTATGGCCCTCTTAGCAAACAAATATTCAAGTCTCCTATTGGCAAGACACAGCATCCCACATGACCTTGAGGTAGAGAGAGGAAAGGAGGAGGAAACCAGCATTTATTTACCTCTTAACTATGTACCAAAGACTGTGATAAGTGCCTTACAAACATTCTCATTTGATTCTCACAACCCTAGAAACAGGTGCTATTATTATCTCCACTTTACAGTTGAGGAAACTAAGGCAAACTTTATTTCAAGTAATTTATCCAAGGTCATACAGCCTGAAGGCATATTTTGAACTCTTCCCACATTAGGCCCAAAGTTCTATCCAATGTACCACCTAGCTGCCTTACACATAGTGGGCTTAATGTTTGTCAAGGAATTGTTCTAGGAAGGATGAGAAGGGAAAGGATGCAGAAGAACTCAACAAGAAACTCATATGTATAATGAATTGGGGATAGCTGTCACCTCACTAGAGTCATTGTTGGAGAAGAACTTTGGTATGCACAAGACAGTCCTCTGGTATCATTTACCACAGAGTGTGTGGAAGGCAAAAGGCCAAGAAAGACTCCAAGGACTGGGGGTACCATGATCCTATTGTTTCTGAGTCTGTAACTTATCCCACGTGTACATTCCCTGAATGTCTTGCATGGGTCCTTGGCTCATTCTGCATGAATGAATAAATGAAAAGTACTCATTAAGTGCTTACGTGTGTTCAAAACACTGTTCCAAGTGCTAACTATACAAATAGAAAACACATTCCTGTTCTTAAAGGTGGTTTTAACTACAGGTTGGTTTAAAAGGTCTTTTGATCCTTAGGGTTGAGGTGATAGACCTTCTTTATTTCCCCTGACAAAATCTTAGTTTCTGATGTTTTGACAATTTCAGTGTTAAAGACTTTGGTGATGGTTAAAGACTTTCTTTTGCCGTCTTCAGTAGCTAGACCACATCTTGACACATTGTTTCTTGGAATAATGGCTGATTCAGAAAGGAGTAATTTTGGAAGTGTGGGTTGTAGGGCAGAATGATTGCCTCTTTCAGGGCTCTTGGGCTGATGGTCAGCAGATACTGATAATGTGACACAGAAGGTGGACCTTTTTCCCAAGTAACCCCTTCTATTAATCTACTGTTCTGCTAGACTGGACCTAGGGTATTTCAAAGAAAGGATTCTAGGCATTGATAACATGCCTCATAGATTCAAGCCTAGATATTTTCCTCTGACCCTAAGGCTGAGTTCAATAGCTTATTTCTATGGGGAATTTCCCTATAATGGGTACCAAGGTATGACAGAAAGGATTTATTCCAAAAATCACATACTCTAAGGAGATCCAGTGAGGAAAAGAACAGTTCCATATTTACTTTCAATACAACACTTTTAGTAGCAAAGAACTAGAAACAGTAGTAGCTATGTCCATGAGCTAGGGAATGGTGGTACATGAATACAAGAGACCATTACTGTGTAGTAACAAATCATGACTATGGATAATGCAGAGGTGCATGAGAAGACTTCTATGAATTGATGTGAAGTAAAACATACACAACCAGGAAAACAGTCTGTACAGTGACTACAACAAAATCAATGGCAGAACAAAAACAAAAAAGCAAATGTTACCAAATTACAGGAGCTATGAGAAGACAGATCCTACAGGGGATTAGGTTGTGGGTGTAAAACACTTGCATATGTCAGACTCAACTGATGTTGACAAATTCTCTTTCACATTGTTTGTTATGTAAGGGGAAATCTATTTCAAAATGCAAGAGACATAAAAGTCAAAGACAAAAAATTTTTAATGACACCTAGCTCACATCCATGAAGTAATAATATATGCATAGGAAAGCCTTGATTATTATTCAATTCCACGTGGCAATGATCAACATAACCTCTCATCAAGTTTATTAATTTTTTTTTCCTTAGAGGACTTCTTTAGAGGTAGAAAACACTTTTAACTATAGCCTTTGAAGCTAAACAGGCTAAATTCCCTTAAACTTTCCTGAGAAAACAATGTTTTCCTTAAATAAAATTCTGCTTTATTTGCAGATCCACAAAGGTCTAAAAAGTGTAGATGAAAATGGAAAATTTTTGCAAGGAAAAATGATTATACACGTTTATCATTATTTTCTTTAGAAAATGCCCACAGGAAATATGAAGACTCTAAATATAAATAAAACTAAAAGAATGCCCATACAACTGGAAAAAAAATTTTGGGCAAAGTACATCTTCAGTTTGCCTTCACTGGGAAAGATATTGTAACATTATTTATACTGTTGGATTCAGTCTGTGAGGAACACAGAGCTTCATATGTTTTGATAGTTACGGTAATAGACTACAGAACTGGCATCAGACACAACAGAGGAGATAGTTGAAGGGTTATGTTCACCATTATGGCCTGGAGAGACAAGCCCCAACTCTGTTTTACATAAGTGGTGAAGATACTGATCAAATTCTGTGTGGATTCCAGCCTCTTGGACCTCAGCAGATTGGCTGGCAATCAGACCTTCCCTGCAGGACAGGGCTTCTGGAGGAGGAGAGGGCTGACTAGATCCTGGCTGATGCTGCATCTGGAAACCACGGACACTGCCTCCAGCTTGGGGGGAGCCCATGGGACCATAGTACATATGCAGAGGGTTGGAGGGACCCATCAGACCCTGCAACGAGTGAGCCAAGGGTTCCTGCACGTGTCTGTGATGCACAGGACCCGGGTGAGAATCAGGATGCACAGAGTACTCTGAGGCTACAGGATAGTTGTAGGGCCCTGGCTGGCAGTCCCCTTGGAGAGAGGAGGTGAAGAAAGCTGCATCTGGCTCCATGCCATCCATGGGAGAAGCCTCAGGGGTAGGCAGGTTGTAGCTGTCAAACTGAGGGGCCGGACCCAGGCTCTGGCACTCACGGTAGTGTGTCATCTGAGGAGGTAGAACTCCCTGGCCCAGATGGTAGGCGTGCTCATGGAATGGCAGTCCCAGGCTGTCCACACACACTCTGCCCTCTGGACCCAGCCCAGAGCCCGGCTGCTCAGGGAGGCTGTGGAGGAAGCCACTCTCTGCCCGTTTCAGCCTTTTCACCTGCTTCCTCCTCCGAGGCCGGTATTTGTAATTGGGATGGTCCTGCATGTGCTGCACTCTCAGCCGCTCAGCTTCCTCCACAAAGGGCCTCTTCTCAGAAAGAGGTAATGCCTTCCAGGATTTCCCTGCCAACATGATGAACAAAGTTAATCTTAAAGAGTCACAAATCTCAGAATTGAAGACAGCTCATATGCAGCAGAAAGGGCATCAGTTCTAACATCAGTGAGCATGGGCTCAAACCATAGCATGGACATTTGCTATCTGTTTAACTTTGGATAAGTTACTTACATTCTCTGATGCTGTTTCCTCCCCTGGAAAGTGAGTATTTGAAACTAGATGACCTTTAAAAGTTCCATATACCCTTAACACTATGATCCCAGGACTTCAGAGGTCATCTGGTCTAAACCACAGCAGAATCAGAACAATAACCTCCTTACAGAGGGTCACTCAACCTTTAGAGGAAGGCCTCCAGGGAGGGAGCTTCATTACACTTTGGGATCACTCTAATTGCAAAGAAATTTGCTTAAATTGGATCTAGAGCAGCTTTTCTTTGTGGAGTTGAACTGTTATTGCTACCTCTGCTTCCTTAAGGTCAACAGAATCCAAGGCCTCCTCCATAGGAGGGCTTTCAAATCCTTCCTTTAGATGCCCTTCAACATCATCATGGTGACCCACCTCGGGAAGCTATCACAAAAGCCAATAAAGCACATAATCACCCTCCCCCTTCCATATTGGCTTCATAAAATGTTGGCCCCAAGGGATTTTATAGCAGATGCTTATCAAAAGTAATTTTTTTTCTTCCCCCTTTCCCTTAGAGGCAGAACAAAGGGGGCAGCTAGGTGGCACAGTGGATAGAGAAGTCAGGAGGACCTGAGTTCAAATCTTGCCTCAGACCAAATACTTGACATTTACTAGCTGTGTGACATTTACTAGCAAGTCATTTAACCTCAATTGCCTAAAAAAATTTTTTTAAAAAAAGAAAAAAACAGAACAAAGTAGGATTCCATCTGGCTGTGATGTAACATTAGCTACACATCTCAGGATCCCAAAGTCAAGGTTTCTAAAAAGTAGGTCTTGCTTTCAATTAAATCAGTCTACAAGTATTTGTTAAAGTCTTGTTATGTGCTCAGCTCTAGGAGGGGAGAAGACAAAACTGGCCTTGCTCTCTAGGAAGTTATGTGTAAATGGTGTAGACAACATATACATAAATCAGCACATACAAGATGGAAAGTAGCCTTAGAGAAAGGCTTAGAGTAAGTTGAGGAAACAGGGGAAAGGGTTCCTTCAGCAGGAGGGGTCATGCGAGCTGAGACTTAAAATCAGGGAACCTAAAAAGTAATGTTGGGAGGGAGAGAACATTCCAGGCTTGGGAAAGAGCACAGAGCTAGAAATGGGAGGAAGAGCAAGTAGGCCAGTTGCTATGGCTGAACCATAGAATGTATAGAGGGAAATAACATGCTTAAGTATGTGGAAGAGACATGGTTATAAAGAATTTTAAATGTCAATCAAAGGAATTTATATTTGATGATAGAGGGAAATAGGACTGGAGCCACTGGAGCTTATTAAGTAGAGAGACATGAGCTGACCTATTAATTAGGAAACTTATTTTGGTAGCTGGTAGAAAATGGACTAAAGTGGGGAGAGATTTGAGGGAAAGAGACCAATTATTTCAAACAGTCATGGCAAGAGGCAAGTGACAAGGTTCTGAAGTAGGATGGTGGCTGGGTGTATGTAGACCACGTTTGAGAGCAGCTGTAGAGAAAGAAATTACAAGACTCGGTAAATGATTAGATTATTGAGAGGGGGAATGAAAGAGATATCAAAAGTATGACACTGAAAATGCAAATCTGGACGACTAGAAGGATGGTGGTGCCTTTGATAAAAGTAGGGAAGTTGAGAAAAGGTAGGGGTGAAGGGAAAGATGATTCTGTTTTGGATATGTTAAGTTTGAGATGCCTACAAGTCCTTCATGTAGAACTATCCAATAGTTGCTGATGTGAGATGCTGAGTCAGGAGACTAGGGATGGATACATAGATCTGAGAATCATGTGAATAAAGGTATTAATTGAACCCCTAAAAGCTGATGAAATCACCATGTGAGATAATATAATAGAAAGAGAAGAGGATCAATTGAGCTTAGAACAGAATCTTGGGGTTTGGGCAACCCAAAACGTTTTGTTGCTGTTGTCCAGTGATGCAATTATGTCCAACTCCTTGTGACTGCATTTGGAGTTTTCTTGGCAAGGATACTGTAGTGGTTTGCCATTTACTTCTCCAGTTCATTTTTACAGATGAGGAACTAAGGCAGTTAAGTGACCTGTCTGGGGTCATACATCTAGTGTCTGAGGCCAGATTTGAACTCAAAAGAGGAGTCTTCCTGACTTCAGGCCTGGCACTGTATCCACTGTACCAACTAGTCCACATAATTAGCATTGCCATAAATGCAAATACAGCAAAGAACTGGGGAGGAGGTAGGATTAGATTGAAGAACCAAAAGCTATCCTGTCATTCCCACAACTGTTACACTTATATAAGCACCTCCCACATCTATACAGAAGACCCTCCCAAATTTTGAGTTCAAACTGACATTTCTTTGGCCAACTTTACGCAGCTGTCCCCCTAAGGAATTAAATTATGAGACTATATTCCCCTATTCCAAAAACCATATCCCTGATGTTCATGGTCTTCCCCCCCAACCCTTTCTCTTCACAGGCAGTAGCCCCAACCATTGTAAACAGCTCAGGATACCCAAATGATTCCCAGAATGAAAGAATCTCAGAATACCAACCCCACAAAAGTAGTTGTACCACTATTTGTCACTTACAGGGTATGGTATATTGGGAAAAGTTTCCACTGCACTAAAAGGTAAGAAAACCTGGGTTAAAAGTAATCCATTCTGCTATACATACTCCCAAAGGGGCTAAATACAGAGGGAAAGGACATATACCTACAAAAATATTTAAAGCAGTATTTTTTGTTGTAACAAAGACTTTGAAAGATGTGAGTGCCAATAAATCAGTTTAGCTAAACAATGTGATACGTGAATGTAATGGAATGTTATTACACAATAAGGAATAGTGAAAAATATAGATTCTGAGAAGCCTTGAAAGGTAGAGTGAAGTGAGCAAAACAAGAAGAGGAACATATATAGATTACAATAATGTAAAGGAAAACGATTCTGAAAGCCTTAAAAACTCTGTTCTATTAAATGACTAATCATAGCTCCAAAACATTAAATAATGAATTGTGCTTCCCATTTCTTGCAAAAGAGGTGAAGGAACACAGAATCAATCAATGAGCATTTATTAATAGCCCATTATGTGTCAGGCACTGAGCAATATATACAAGGTAGTTAAATACTAGGTAGCTTGAGAAGACCCTAGCAGTTGATAGATAAAGAAAGGCAGCAAGTGTTAAGTGGTGACCAAGCTGTATCTTGAAGGAAGAAAGGGTATCTATGAAGCAGCTATGAGATGAGAGCATACTTCAGGCATTCGGGATGGCCAGTACCAAAGCATAGTAAGAAGATGGGGCATTCTGTTTGAGAAAAATGGACTAGGCCAAAACTAAAGTAAAATATGTCCAACGAAGCTGGAAAAGGTCACAAAGGACTTTTTTTGTGAAGGCAGCTAGGTGCCACAGTGGTTATAGTGTTGGACCAGTCAGGAAGATCTGAGTTCAAATTAATTTACTAGCCTGTGTATCCATGAACAAGTCTGCCTCAGTCTCCTTACCTGTATAATGAGGCTAAACAGCATCTACCTCTCATGGTTGTCATGAGGATCAATTGAGATGTCATTTGCAAGGTGTTTGCAACCTTAAAACTCTATGTAAATGCTACTTATTTTATTAAAAGCTCAACCAAAAGTTTTTATTTTATCCTAGAAACAATAGGGAGCCACTCAAATGATTATTGAGTAGGGGAGTAACATAGATGTTGAACTAAAGAGAATCACTTTGTCAGCCCTGTGTAGGGTAAACAGAAGTGGAAAAGACTTGAGAGAGGACTAGGAGATCGATTAGCAGATTATTGCAATAATTTAGATGACATGTAATAAAGTCCTGAACTATGATGAATGAGACATAAATCTCTAAACAAGGTAAAAAACAAGTGATACATTCCATGTTCTTCTAATTTTCCTGCAATATCTCTCTATATCTGTAAAGTATCCATCTTGACCCCATCTTGATAAACACTGTTAGGACATTGGTCCATGCCCAGCCTCTGCCACACTCCAATTTTCCCAACAATTTTCACCAAATAATGAATTCTTATCCCAAGTCTTTACACTTGTCAAATACAAGGTTACTATATTTATTTGCTGCTATAAATTGTATGTCTACTCTGTTCGATTGATCCACCCTTACACTTTTTAGCCAGTACCAGACAGTGTGGACAATCACTACTTTATAATATAGTCCAAGATCTGGCACTGCTAAACCTCCTTTCTCTACATTTTTCCTCAGTTCTTTTGATATTCCTATTTGTGTCTAATGGTAGCCATCTCTAGGGTGGAGCAGGGAAGGAAAACAAAAAAGGGGGGAAAAAGAAATTATATATAAATTGTATATATTATATATGTAAATGGAACAGCAAATTGTACATACAGATTTTCAGTTTCATGTGCAATTTTTTTTATTCTACCGTTATGGAAACGTTTGTTTTATCCCATAAATTAAAAATTAAATAAATTTTAAAAAATAATAATTTAAAAGATTCTAACTTTAGCACTTACAAGCCAATTCACCTCTAGGAGCATCATTTTCCTTATTGGAAAAAGTCTGTCAACAAGCTTACTATAAGAGCTTATTATAAGAGCTTACTGTGTGCCAGGCACTGTGAGCCAAGTGCTGGGAGTATAAAAAACAAGAAAAAATAAGGACAGTTCCAGGCCTCAAAGAATTTACATTCTAATGGTGGAAGAAAATATATAAAAGGAAGTTACTGAGGGATAAAGAGGGGCATATGGCTAGCAGGCATGAATGAAGATTCAGATTCCCCAGAGAAAAAGAGATGGTATGTCCAGGTGCCCTCCTAGTTCAGGGAGGAACCATCCAGTCAAAATGGGGCTGAGGGTCCTTCCTAAGTATGAATTCCCAGGTTGAAATGATATTTCAGGATGAAGAGTTTAGGGTGGGGGAAGGGCAGGAGGGTCAGACTAGAGCAGAGATTTGTTTTTTGTTTTTCTTTGAATCCCCACCCAGTCCTCAGCATGTCATAAGCACTTAAATGCTTGCTGACTAACTTTTTGACTTATATACTACCTGAGAGTTTTTTGTAAGTAAAGGATCTTATAATCTTTAAGTGCTACATAAATGTGGCCTTTTAATAAACATATCTTGTTTCTCTCAAATTTAAAGTATTCAACAATGAGGTTCTAATCATTAGAAGCATACTTGAACTCAGCTAATGACTTAGAACAAAAGCCTCCTAACTGGTCTCCTTGCATCAAATTTGTTCCCATGCCAAACCATCCTACATTCAACAACCAAAGTGATTTTCCCAAAGCATAGATCTGAGCCTCTCCACCCATAAGGATCCTGTGACAAAACCCCTCCCCCTCTCCCACTCCCACCCATTTTTCCATTCCAGGCATAAAATACCTGGGGCAGGGTGTCCTCTGCTTTCACGGACCAAATTCATAACTTGCCATGCCATAACTCTAATTTCAAATCTTCCTCCAATCCCCTCTGAAAATGTTAAACCTCAATTCCAGTAACAGTTCACACTTTAGCAGGGATTAGCTATAGCCTGAGTCCAAGTGTCCAATACAGACACAGGATGGGTACCCTAGAGAAGAAAGCTGGGAAGGAGCCCCACGAAGAGGAAAGGGGCACTAACAGGAACCAAAGGCAAACTTTGCCTGCTTCATATTTTTTGTCCATGACTGGCTGGGGCCTTCTTCTATCAGAAATATAACAGGGAGCTCTTTCCTTCAACTCCCAAAGCACATTTGCTCACTTTGTCACATAATTTATTTGATAATTATTGTCAAATATTGCCTTGCATAATTACTCCAGCTGGAGCTCAAGCTAGAAAGGGCCTTAGGGACCCTCTAACGCAATCCTTCCTTTTACAAAGTAGGAAAGAGGCATAAAAAGGTTAAGTGAATTGCTTAGGGGCACACAGCTAGTGTCAGAGACAATATTTGAATCCAGCTCTAGCAGACCCCTAGGAAGGACCGATTACACCCATTACGTCTCAAGTCCAGAGGCCTTTCCTTTGTATGCACTTCTCTGTCAGAAAACATCCCCCCACACACCTACTTAGACAAATATTAACATATTAAACCTTCAATCAATTCACACAGCCAGATCTCAAGCCCCCTTTCCTTTTATTATTCTAATACCTAAAGTCCCACAGCTTAGATTCTTCATATTCATCTTTTCTAAACTGGATCCATTATCGAATTGGAGGAAGTTTTGTCGAATAGAATCAGAGCTGAAGGGACCTCAAAGATCATCCAGTCACACCCCTTCAATTGAACCAATGAAGCCCTTCTCTGAGGCTCAGGGAAGGGGAAGTGACTTACTCAAGCTTATAACAAGATTCAACCAAAATTCAAACCCAAGACCTCCAACTCCCAAGGCCAATCATCTTTCCACTGCACAGAACAGTCTCTATAATTAGCACAGATTTTTTTCCCCTAAATTCCAAGTGAAAGGATCTTAGAATCTCAGAGACAGAAGTAACCTCAAAGTTCATCTAGATCATGTCAGACCTGAGCAGGACCTGCTCAGCAGTCCCTGACAAGGGATCAACCTGGACTCTCTGAGTGAAGACTTACATAAATTTGGGCAGCCCATTGCCCTTTGGGTCAACTCCAGTTGTTGGTAAAGTTTTCCATTCTAGCAAAAGAAAATCTGCCCCTGCAACTTCCGCATAGCTAGCTGCTAGACCTAAGTCCTCTCAGCTCAGGCCAAACATTTAATACATCACACAAGCCCTTTAAAGTGTTGAAGACAATTCTCACATGTCCTCCTTTCTACTCAAAGATATCTCCAGATCCCTTACATAGAGAACACAATAGCAGGATCTTTCAACCCCTTCCCCTTTTGATCTTTAGCTATTTTTCTTATCTGTGAAACAGAAATAAAATGTTTGTTGTGCAGAAAGTTAACTCTTCTCCAAAGCAATTTTCTATTTTGTAAAATAGTTTTATAACTTAGTTTTACCAATAGCAAAATACTATAAACAAACTAAATGCCTCATCATTGGAGAGTAGAATGCTTTATAGCAACAAAGATTAATAAATACAAATAATATACAGAATTATAGGTAAAGCCATATGAATTTATGCAAAATAGAGCAGAACATGAAATGGTAGACACACTGATTGTATCTATGCAATACATATATGCGTATGTTGATGAGTCATCTCCGTCTTCATCCCAACACTCCATGTCTTTGCACTGAAGCTTATCTCCTATGCCTGGAATAGTCTTCCCCTTCCCTTCCTTACCAATGCCTCAGTTTTTCTAGCTTCCTTCAGCACTCTGTTCAAATGCCATCTCCAGGAGGCCTTTTCTGGCTTGCTCTAGCACCTAGTGCTGAGATCCTCTTTAAGTACCCGGTTATTTTCATGTTTTTCTCTCCCTTAGAATAGGAGTTCCTTGAAAGCAAAAATTGTTTTTGCGTGTCTTTCTATCACCGGAGTTTAGCACATAATAAGTGCTTAATGCTGCCTGACTGGTTTGTCAAAGTTCATACATCCAAGTACGTTATCACAAGAAGGACTGAAAATCCTGATTTTTCTGACTCTAAAGGCCAGCCAACTAGCTGCTACAGAGGTGTCAAACTCACTGGCCCAAGGGCAGCCCCTGAGTACTAGATTAAAATGTAATTGAGAAGTGTTTAACAAAAGAAATAAAACTACAATACAACATAAATAATGTTAATTTGGGGTCTACTAAATCAAAGTGGAGGCAGCAGGGTTCTGTTTCTGTTTGAGTTTGACACCATAGCATCTCACCCATCTTCCTCAAGCCAGCAAGTACGGTTTACCTTTTTTTCATAGCATTTTTAAAATAAAAATTAAAAAATCTCTTCAGGCAGTTATAGGAATGTGGCAATAAAGATTTCAGGCTGTTTTTTGTTTTGTTTTGTTTTTACTAAACTAATACATGACCATTGCATTCATAGAATTTCAGAACTGGGAGAGACCTTAGAGATCATTTTATCTAAGCCCCTTATTTGATAGTTGAAGAAACTGAAGTGAACCTGACTTCCCTAAGGTGGACCAGCTAAGTTAGTGGCAATAGTTGAACTAGAACCTAAATATTTCTGGATCCTGGCCCAGTGCTTTTCCATGACAAAATACTGCTTTCATAACATACTGATCTCTCTCTTCCTCATTTCAGAACGCCTGAGAAACAAGAAACAAAGTTTTAAAGCTATTTTGTGACCAAAAAAAAGGCTAAAGTTGGTATACTTATGCTGGTCTTTAGGAATTATCCCCAACTCTTTAGCCAAAAAAACAAATAAAATAAAAATAAACAAAAAAACCTGGCATAAGACGCTAGGGACCGAACGTGTGATTGCACTGTTAGGGAACTCCGAGGAGAGGGGACACTCCCCTCTACCAAGGTAGATGAGCACCTTCTTCATAATTCATTATCTTAGAGTGGGCTGGGCCAATTGAAAGGTAAAGTAACCTGCTCATGGTCGTTTAGCCGGTATGAGCCACGGGCATAACTTGAACTCGTCTCCCGTTTCCGAGGAGAATTCGCTATCTGCAATATCGATGCTTCTCTGAGTGTGGAAAGTTGACCATAAAACAAAAGTTATACTATAGGGCTGCACTTTGAAGCGCAGTTGCTTCCGTATTGAATGATTGTGCAGAAAACTCTTTGCATTGTTGTACACACACGCGCGCGCGGTATCTACACAGCAGCCTCTAACAGTTCGTATTCGTAAACAAGATGGAAAATTGTGATATGTTCTTATCGTCATCATTGACCAATACTCTTTAATCTCCAATGCAGCACACTCCTATCTCTCAACTTCTTACCTAAGAAAATTTGGAGATTGGATTTATCTTCCTACTACTACTTTTGTTATAGTTGGACCTGACTTTCAAGCAATTCTTGGCATACTACACAACCCACTAGAACAACATCGCAGGAGAATCACCTAGGTCTCCAGCACCTCTTTATTCCTAGCCTGCGGATAGGGACCCCTGATTATATTCGTATAGGGAACCGTCAGCCAGAGGAAACTCTACCAACGAAGGTAAGCACCTTTTCTGCAATTTATCCTCTTGGAGAGTTGTTGACCTTTACGCTTAGGAGTTAAGTGACTTGACCTGGGTCACAAAGACAGTGGGAATTGAACCCAGAACTTCCTGGTTCCGAGACCAGCTCTCAGGTCCACTGCGCCACGCTGCTATCGAACCAAAAATTATTGCCAGGGACCTCTTTTGCAGTAGCGAAACTAAGGTTATAAAAGGCGTGATTGACATAAACGTGTATTCAGGTTTTCCACTGAAGGGACCCCATAAGGGGGCTGTGGTCCAATCGGGATAAATTTTCCTTACCCCCACCCCCGCCAGTGGTCATTGTTGTACTGCTGGATACAGTCAGTACAAAAGTGATGGGGACACTTGCGGACAAGCCTTTGAACTAAAGTCAAAAGCCCTCCCTCTTAGAGTAACTTCCACTTGAAAGATCCTTGGCGGAGACCCTGGGTGTTCTTCCCCCCCCAGCCCCTTCCCAAGTCTCCTGGTTCCCGCTACGAACGCCCAAAAGCCCCACTCACCCAGCATCTTGCTCAGCTCAGCGTTGTGCAGGTCTGGGTTCTGCTGTGCCAGCCTCTTGCGCTCGTCCTTGGCCCACACCATGAATGCGTTCATGGGCCGCCGGATGCGGGACTCCCCTTTGCCACGGCATGCGGCTCCAGAAGCTGCAGCAGTCGCGCTGCTCCCGCTCCCTGCACCCGCACCGGACTCGTTCTTGACCTTCATCTCCCCCAAGGGACTCAAAGACTCAGCCCAAGGGCAGGGGCCCATCCCGGCCATCATCATGGGCAGCGCGCACCTGGCCTGGCTCTGGTCGTCACTGGCGTACCCCGCATCAGGGCTGCTCATGGCTCTCCTGCCGCGACCTCACGCCCGGCACCCTGCCCCGCCCCCACACCCTCAGCCTGGACCGACGGTTCCCCCAGTGGCTGGTCGAAGATGGGAGGAGAGCGCGGTGGCCGGCGGGAATCAGTGATCTATCTGGATGACCTGATTTCCAGGACTCATTCAAAGTCACCCCAACAACAAGCGCCCCAAACAGACACTCCCCCACTAGGAGCTCTCTCCCCGAAGCCGCTCCTCTTTCTACACCTACGTGACCAATGGGGCTCCGAGGGCGGGGCGGCTCCCAGGAGGTGTCAGACGCCCCTCCCTGAGCAGCGCGGGAGCTATCTCGACTGCTGCTCGGGTTTTACCTGAACAGGTGAGAGCTGGAGGAAACCTGGAGTCCAAGAATTGGACCTCCCTGAACCTGGTTGCTCTCTGGACAGTTAGGACATATTGCGGTCCTGGTCACCACTGATGCATACCGGGTTCTCCATTGACATAAAACAGAGGTGCGCAATCTGGGGGAACATGAATTTGGGGGGGGGTTAATGCTTTGATAACTGCATTTAATATAATTGGTTTTCTTTGTAGAACTACATTTTATTTTATGCGTATAAAAACATTCTTCTGAGAAAGGGTCCATAATTTTCACCAGACTGCCAAAGGGGTCCATGACGCAAAAATGACCACCCCACGAGGAGGCCTATATCCTGGTAGGGAGCAGGTTCTGGGTGAAATTTCCCCAAGTCACCTCTAAGTCTTGGAGATATGACAGTCTGAGCCCTGAAACCAGTTAAGGAAGTACCATAATCGGTACTTTTCTCAAAAGGCGTGGAGTCTTATTAATTCCAAGAAGATGGGAGGCGCCGTGGATAGAATGCTGGACCTAGAGTCAGGAAGACCTAAGTTCAAATCCAGCCTCAGACACTGGGCAAGTCAGTTAACTTCTGTCTACCTCAGTTTCCTTGTCTGTAAAGTAGGGATAATCATAATACCTATTTCCTAGGAGTTTTGTGAGACAATATTTGTAAGGTGCTTTGCATACTTCAAGTGATACATAAATGTTAGTTATTAAAAAACCAAATTAGGTTTTTATTTCAAAATTCTGAAAGTCACTAAAATAACATTCTTCACATCAAGTTATTTTGCCAAATTAAGTAGATAATAGACACATGAAAAGCTTAGTAATTATTTCAGAGATTGTGAGATGAATGTAAATTTAACCATATGTAAAACTTAATAGGGATCTGAAAACTGCAGCTTATGCAAAACACTGCTCCGTCTTATTTTCTCATCTGTGTTCGGATGGTACCCCAGTACCTTCCTCCCTCTAGGAATTTAGAAAGAAACGTCCAAAGGTCCGGGACTTCCCAGTAGCATGTGCAATATGCTGTGTTATTACAGACTTCCCACAAGGCTCTCCGTTCTGCTTAGAACTGGGTACTGATTTCTTTTACGTATACCCTACTAATTCTAGGCTGCTGCAACCCCTCTTGTAAACTCAGCCCCGCCACGCCACGCCCCCAGAGTCCTTTAATCTGTTATTATTACTACTAGTTCAGAAATATAATGAAAAGAGGAGAGGTAAGAGCCTGTATTGGAATCCTGTTTCTGCTACTTGCCATACCTATTACACATTGGACAAGTAACCTCGCTAGTCATTTGTTTCCTCTTCTGTAAAATGCGGGTGTTGGACCAGCCTACTACGGAATCTTTAAAGTTCCCTCGTCTAAATTCTACGATTAACAATGGCGCGTTTATATAGCCTGTATAAACGCGCCATTGTTAATCGCAGGATTTAAAGGTTTGTCACTCCTATGTTTATTTCACTGAGCTCTTCTCCTGATTACCTTAGAAACATTAACACATTTAATCAGAACAAATGAAAAAGAAACACTGCACTGATATCTTTCACTTTCTAATAGTTATAGTCACCCAGAACCTTTCTTATTTTCGAAACCTTGTGCTTAACTCAGGATTACCTGGCGAGGCTAACTGGATGAAGGACTGTGTTCCAGTGGGTTCGTTCCTTCACTTTAACCCTGGCTCTGATACGCCTCTCTGGACTTTGGTCTGAGGGAATAACAAAGAAATAAAGTCCCAAAGTTTGTCCAGAGCCAAGGGTAGCCAGAGAGCAATTGGGTCCCTCGACTTTGGTGGTGTTGGACTTTTTAAAAAGATTTTATTTCAATTTTCTTCGTGCAGATCCCACGCTCTCCTCTGGTGTTTCTGTGAAGGTTGGCTGAACGGAACCTGGTAGGGCAAGACCTGCCACAGGTCCCCCACTATTTCTACTTCTCTTCCCTCTCCCAATTACTAAGTCCCTTATTTTTATGCATCGAATCAGTACGGTGGTGAGCAATGCCCTTCACCTCAGATCCCCACTTCTGTCCCTTCAAAAGATTCTGCACATGCATTGTCCTTCCCTTCCCCCACTTCATCGCCGCTAATCTCGTTTTAGCTTTCCCCCAACATGCAGATTCACTATAATCAATGAAAGAGGTCTATCAACAAGATAGAAAAGGTCAGGGAGGGGATGTTCTTTCTTTAACATTTCAAGGAAGACACTACCCCTAGGTTGTTCTTGGGCTGTTCAAAGTTGTTCTGTCTGTCCTAAAAAGCAGAATTCCTTTTCCTCCAATCTAGCCCTGGGAAAAAAATATTTATCCCCGGTGGATGTATGTTTTTAAAGCTTCGTGCTCATTCTCGGAATTTCCTGGAACTTTTAGTACTTCTCTTCCTTCCCAGTTCCTCCATCCTCCCTTTAATCTTGTATTAATCTCTGTTCATCAGAGGAGTTCAATCAGATTCGGTTTATTTTATTGAGAAATTTTAGGGGAGCTGTGACACGGGACCTGAGAGACTGGGAAATAGTGTCGGAGACAGGAAGAAAGTCTGAGCAGGAAAAGAGTGTTGGCAGGGGTGGCATTTCTATCAAGACTGCTCTGATTTAACTGGCCCTCATTAAAAGCACATTTTAAAGAGGGGAGGGTACAATACGAACCATTTCTGCTGTCCTTGGCGCAAAAATAAGGCAACCTGCTGTTAAAGGTCCAGAGAGGCTGAGTTGCCCAATGTTTCACGTTGTAAAGAGGCTGGAGGCAGTCATGATAGAAATAGTATTCTCATATTTGATGGAGTTGACAGAAATAGTTTTGTGATAAGCTGTTACTATTGTTCTTTCATGTTTAATGAAACATGAAAGGCAGAGCATTGTACAAATAGATGAATGTTGGATTTTTTGGGTTTTGTTGGGGTTTTTTTTGTAATTGAATGAAAGTGTTGGAATGTAAACTCATCTTCCATAGGTTGTTGCTGTTGTTTTATAGTCTCGAGCTGAGCCTTTGAAGGATAGGAAGGATTTCAAGAGGTGATGATTACTCTCCTCCTTTGCCAGCCAAAAAGGCCAGCAAGAACAAAAATTGAGAAGTGTGGAAGAATGGCACTAGTCTGAGGATTTGTATACATGCATACCTGACAGTATGTTCCCATTCTCTGTCCACTCTTTTTCATTTGTTTTCCTCCTCCCTCTTTATATCCTCCCTCTCCTCTTCCCTAACTCTTTCCCCTTCTCTTCCTTTTTCTTCCTTCCCACTTCTCTCCCTTTTCTCTTCCCCCACCTCCAAGGACAATAGCAACAGGTTACACAGACAACTGGATCTGAGTCTTCAATCAGATAAGATAGCATGTAAAGCACTTTATAACTTTAAAGTATTAAATGTTCAGTTAATATCATCCAGCCCTTTCCTTAAACATCTGAGTACAAACTGCAGTCTCTGGATTCATAAGATCATTAATTTCTAGATGGAAGGGACCCCAGAGGCCATCTAGATTCTAGTCTAACCATCTCATTCTACAAATGAGGAAACTGAGACCCAGGGATAAATGACTTGTCCAAAGTCACTTAGGTGGTATGCTGTCATAGGTGGGATTTGAATTCAATTCCTTTAACTCCAAAGTCACTGTTCTTTCCCATTGTACACATCCCCTCCCACTACATCAGGGGAAAAGAAGGACACCAGCACATCCTCATTTTTGCCAAAGATTTTCCTTTAATTGTCAAAAACTGAGTTTTAAAGAGAAAGACGACAGGCATATGTTTCTGGAACCGTCAGAAAAAAGATAAAAACACTAATAGCATCCTAACACTGGCAAACGACCTAATCTCTTGTTTTGGGGTTTGACTGCTCCTTCAGTCTAGGATCTAAATTAATGAAGCAAAAGTCTGCTTTTATGCCTAGAACTGATTTACCTAGAAAATGAGGGTTGGTTGAGCAAGGCTTTGGCTACCAGAGGGAAGGAGAATGTGGTTAGGACAAATAAGGGTGGAAATCTTTGTAAACTGCACAGCAATATAAAGATGAGAGATTCTGGGCTGTTTTCCCAGATTTTCAAAGTGCAAAGGATATGAGCAGAGGGAGGGAGTCATGAGGAACTCAGTGATAAACCAGAATGACCACTGTGGGGCAGAAGTTCTTTAATTCAGAGGGAAAAACTCTTTGACACAGCAAAAGTCAAGAAAAGATCATCACTGGGCTTTGATTCTTCATTAAACTCATCATAGAACCTTCAAGTATTGAGTAGAAAAAAGGCTATAGGAGAAAAGAAAAAAGGGGAGAGAGGGAAGAGGGACCAACTGAGAGCAGACAGAGACAGGGGACAGGAGCAGTTCATTTCTAATAGGGAAGGAGAAATATGAAGTGATGTGGAGAGAGAAGAAAAAGGGAACTGACTACCAAAAGAGATTTCAAAGAAATCTTAAATTCAAGATTCCAGATAAAATAACCAAGGTAGCTATTTTTAAAACCTCAAAATGCTATTGATAAAATGACAAAATAAAATTTTAAAAAATAGGAAGAGCAAAAGTTAAATACTCAATTTCAAAATGCAGAATTTTTATTTTTGTTTTTGCCAGTTTGTTCAGATGGTATATGTGAATCCCATTTTTTTTAATTTGGTAGGAACCTTAAAGATAATTTTGTCAAACTTTCTCACTTTACAGAAAAGGAGACAGAATGACTTTCCCTAAGGTCACACAACTACTGAAATCATTACAAAATTTGAGCTTTTCCAATCTTTACTTCTACCAAAGATAATTATGTACATTTACCAACCATAGAGCAGCCATTAAGAAATTTTACTTTTAAGAATACTCTTGGGAGGGAAGGGAAGAAGAGAATATGGAGCTCAACATTTTTTAAAATGAATGTTTAAAATTTTGTTTATAT